TCTCTAAATGCTTGATACCATTCTTCTATGGTTAATTCTCTTTCTTTTTCTAGTTCCCCTTGTATATTTTCTTTAGAGTCGTTTAGAAATTCTTGCATTTTTATCATATTTTCTTCTAATTGTTTTTTAAGCTTGTCTTTCTTAAAAGATCTTTTCAAAGAGATTCCCAATATCATGATATAAGTGATCCTGAATCTTATTTTTAATTTTACCAAAAGTTTTTCCAAAAAATTCAATTCATCCCATCTTTGAGCATCTAATAATGTTTTGTCACTAATTTCTTGTATTTTATCAATTTTTCTTTTTGTGACATCAGTCATCATGTGTTCACATTCTGGTCTTGTAATTTCTATTATTTCTTTAATATTGAGTCCTAAAGCTAACATCATTTGTTGGTCCTTCTTCATAGTTTGTTTTGCCATTTTCTTTTTTCTTTTGAAGTTATTACTGTTGTCCTAAAGATTTTTTGTCCTTTTATACTTTTTGTGATATGAAATCCTTTTCTATTTGTTCAATATTCTTTTCAATTTCAGAGTACCATTCTTCTTCCTTTTCTGATATTTTCTTTTGATAGTAATTTTTGAAGAATACACTATTATCCCTTTTCTCTGTCAATTCTGCCAATTCTTTTTCAATATCTGTCATGATATCTATTTCTTCTTTTATTCTTTCTCTTAATTCTTTCAATTTTTGTAATTTTAAAGTTATTTTTGTCTTTTTATCTAAACCATAAATTTTCATTATTTGGGGTTCCTCATTAGTTGTCATTTTTTGTTTTTTAAGATTTTCTCTTTCCTATTCTTATACTTTCTGTTAAATGGTCAATTCGTTGTCGTTTATAAAGTTCAACTGTTTGTCTTAATTCATCATTTAGGAGTTGGTGTGTTTCTTTTACCTTTTCTGTATTTTCTTTTATTTGGTTGTTAATTACATCTGACTTTACTCCTATTTGTATTACCTCCCCTAATGCAATTATGTGCATTCCTTCAATGTTTATTCTTGCACTAATAAAATGTTTTGTAGTTGTATCAGATCGATTCCATTGTGAAATGAGATTCAATATATTTTTACTAAGTATTTGCATTTCTTCAAAGGTGTTGTCAAATTCTTGTATTTTATTATTATATCATTTTCTTAAAGTCTTTATTTGTTCGTGGATGTAAATTCCATTCTCTAGTATTTTTTCAAAGTTATTTTGGTTGACCATGGTTGTTGATTGAATTTCTAGCTATAAGTTTCTTAGCCTTCTTTTATACTTTTTCATTACCGTGGTCTCTTCGGAGAAATTGGGTTAAAATAGATGAGTCATACAGTCAACAAAAAAGAGATTTTTG